GTAGTAGTTGTGTGGACAGGTGGTCATTGTGTGGACAGGTGGTCGTGTGTGGACAGATGGTCGTGAGTCGACAGGTGGTCGTTGTGTGGACAGGTGGTCGTTGTGTGGACAGGTGGTCATTGTGTGGACAGGTGGTCGTTGTGTGGACAGGTGCACATGCTCGGCTCTGATCTGGGTTTGGGGTCTTACCACTGGATGATTTCTGTGATCTGGGCCTCCCAGTGAGCCACGCTCTCCTTCTTATCAGCCAGCTCCCTCAGCTCATTCTCCAGCTGCCGGTTGTAGCTGCTCACCTTCTCCAACATGCTGCTCACCTGAGAGAGACAATACAAACATAATTTTAACTTGATCATGAGAGTAAGCTGTCCTCCGGCATCTGGGAAATTATCTGAAGTTGCACTCGTGTCATGAGTGCAACAAGTCTAGCAGCTGTGAAGGTGCATGCACGCACGTGCACGCACGCACACACACATTGATCAATAAAAACCTATCAATGCATCCGTGAGGACAGATGTTTGATGTGTCCAGATGTGGTGCAGCAGATCTTCTTACAGGGTGACTTATATAAACATGGAGTTTTGAGTCCTTCGGGTGGCAATATTGGGGCGTGTGTGTGTAACCACGGCAACATTGTTACAGGTCTGAAACTGTTGAAGTATTTGCTCTGTGGGCACATTTCTGATGTCTTGATCCTGTGAGGACTGTGGAGAGAAGAACAAGCCAGAGCTGGTTCTGTTTATAACTGTGAGGACAGTCAAGGGTGGAAGAAAGGCTTTAAACTGCTGGAATGAACTCGAAGTGGATTAAACCCCATCCATCCATTATCTTCCACATATTCTGAAGTCAGATCTCAGGGGCAGCAGCTTGAACAGGGAGGCCCAGACATCTCTTTCCACAGCCATGTCTTCCACCTCTTCTGGGAGGACTCCAAGGTGTTCCCAGGTCATCCAAGAGACAGTCTCTCCAGCGTCCTGGGTCTTCATTGAGGGGTGTCCTCCCAGTTGGACATGCCCGAAGCACCTCTCTAGGGAGGTGCCCAGGGAGCATCCTTACCAGATGCCCGAACTACCTCAACTTGCGCCTCTGGATGTGGAGAAGCAGCAGTTCTACTCCGAGTCTCTCCTGATAGCTGAACTTCTCACCCTATTTCTAAGGGAGAGTCCAGCTACACTGCAGAGGAAACTCATTTCAACCGCCTGTATCCACAATCTCATTATTTCAGTCACTACCCAGAAGGAACGTAGACCGACTGGTAAACAAAGAGCTTTGCCTTACAGCTCAGCTCCCTCTGCACCACAACGGACCAATCTGTCTGTCAATCTCATGCTCCATTCTTCCCTCACTCATGAACAAAACCACAAGATACTTGAATTTCTCCACTTGAGGTGGAACCTCACCTTTGACCGGAAAAGAGCAATCTACCCTTTTCCGGTTGAGGACCATGGCCTCAGATTTGGACCTGCTGATTCTCATCCCAGTTGCTTCACACTCTGTTGCGAACCACTCTGAGAGCTGAAGATCACGACATGATGACATCAACAGGACCACATCATCTGCAAAGAGCAGAGACGGAATCCTGAGGCCACCGAACCGGAAACCCTCCGCCCCCTGGCTGCACCGAGAAATTCTGTCCATAAAAGTTATGAACAGAATCAGTGACAACGGGCAGCCCTGGTAGAGTCCAACTCCCACCCTGAAGGGGTCCGACTTACTACCAGCAATCTGAACCAATCTCCCACTGCTTGTATAGGAACTGAACAGCCCGTAACAACGGGGCCCCAATCCCATACTCACGGAGCACCCCCACAGTGTACCCTGAGGACCATGGTCAAATGCCTTCTCCAGGTCGACAAAACACATGTAGACTGGATGGGCAAACTCTTATGACCCCTTGAGGACCCTAGTGAGGGTAAAGAACTGGTCCAGTTTTCCATAGCCAGGATGGAACCCACATTGTTCCTTCTGGATCTGAGGTTCAACCAATGATCGGACTCGCTTCTCCAGTACCCCTGAATAAACCTTACCAGGGAGGCTAAAGAGAGTGATGATATAATTGGAGCACACCCTCTGGTCCCCCTTTTTGAAAAGGGGAACCACCATCCCAGTTTGCCAATCAAGTGGCACTGCCCCCGATGTCCACGTGATGTTTCAAAGGCGTGTCAACCAAGACAGCCCCACAACATCCATAGATTTAAGGAAATCAGGGTGAATCTCATCCACCCTCGGAGCCCTGCTGCCTCTGAGCATTTTAACTACCTCAGCAACCTCAGCCATGGTTATGGACAGACCAATCCCAAAGTCTACCAACTCAGCTTCCTCCATGGAAGATGTGCCAGTGGGATTGAGAAGGTCAGAAGTATTCCTTTCTCCGCCTGATGACATCACTGGTTGAGGTCAACAGCACCCTACCCTCATTGAACACAGTGTTAGTGAAGAGCTGATTTCCTCTCCTCAGCCACCTGATGGTTTGCCAGAATCTCCTCTGAGCTGACAAAGTCTTTATCCGAGGCCTCACCGAACTCCTCCCACATCCGAGCTTTTGTTTGAGTAAGGGTCTGTAATGACATTCTGCTAGCGAATGACTCTGGTCAGTCTGTGATCCTGGTACTCCTCGACCTTACCGCTGCATTTAACACTGTTGATCACAGCATCCTTATACTCCTTCTCGGGCTTTGAGATCATCAGACCAGCTGCTTTTGGCCGTACCAAAAACCAGGCTGAAGCTCAGAGGAGATCGAGCATTTTCAGTCATGGGCCCTAAACTCTGGAACAATCTGCCCATCAACATTCGACAGGCCACCTCAGTCTGTGCTTTTAAAGCTTTCCTAAAAACACACCTGTACTCATTAGCTATGTTTACATGCGCAGAATCCTTTGACCAGATTGAAATGTGTTCTGTTTGAATAATTCAAAAGTATTGTTTACATGGGCACAATCTGTTCATGATGAGCGTTTACATGCAGCGGGCTTTGTTCTGAACAGCAGTACTGACATGCGCATAGTGGTAAACTCTCCTTAAAAAAACCACCGAAGAAGAAGTTCTACTTCCGGGGTGAACGTAAACAAACCTGAGCACCCAAAATGGACCCGCGACAGGTTTTAATGATGGTGGAGACGTTACTGCACTCCCTGACTGAGCTACAGGTAATACAGATCATTTTGAGCTCTTTCAAAGTTTCTAGGAGAAATGTTGTGTCGCTCACCGACCAGTTTAGCTTCCCTGACATGCTAATATTATTAGCATTAGCCAGGCGGAAATGGCAAAGTTGCACATGCGCAGTCAGGTCAGTTTTTCACGATCAGATAAAAACGAACAGATCAAGCGTTTACATGCGCACCGATCGGGTTACGGATCGGCGTAAACCACCCGTTTCGTTCTGATCACAAATTATATCGGATCGCGCCGAATACACAAAAAATAACCCAAACGGAGTGTTTACATGACACACTTTTATTCCGACCGGCCATTTGATCCGGTTACTTATGTCCATGTAAACATACCCATTGACATTTAACACAGGGTGATCGGATTTAGATCTAGTTTTTCATTGATGCTGATTCTGTTTATGATTTTGTTATTATTCCTATTTAACACAAGGTCATCAGATCTGATTTAGTATTTCATTGTTTCTAATTGTTTTTGGTTTTATATTTTTATTCCATGTGCTGTAAATATATCTTGCTACTTTTTATTTGATGTCGTGATATTTTTGTTAAGCACTTTGGTAACAGTTTCTGTTTTAAATGTGCTCTATAAATAAATCTGACTTGACTTGACTTTTGCCTCAGCAACAGCCAAGGCTGTAGACTGCTTGACCCTCAGGTACTCCTCAGCTGCCTCCAGAGTCTCACCAGTCAACAAGGTCCGATAGGACTCCTCCTTCAGCTTGACAGCCTCCTAACCCAGGGTGTCCACCACAGAGTTCAAGGATGGCCACCGCGAGAAGCACCCACAACCTTGCATCCGCAGCTCAAGACAGCCACTTTAACGATTGAGGTGTAGAACATGGCTCACTCTGACTCAATGTTCCCCACCTAGTATATCGTTCATGATAATACTGGTAAAAAAAAAAACGTACCCGGGAAAATAAATGATATCATGATATGCTAAATTTCATGACGTAAATACGTCATCCCACCACGCAACGGATTACGCTGCAAAGAAGGCATGAACAGAGACATCTGACTGAGCTGCACTGTTTTAGAACGAGAGGGACACAGACACATCTGAGCTGAGCGCTGTTTGTCCCGACAGGTTTTGAGCTGGTCAGCGTGAGGGTTCAGCATGAGAGAAGACGTTTATTTTAGCTTTTTAGCTAGTGCGCTGCTAACTTGAAGTTACGTCAGTACAGGCGGGTGGGGCGAGGGTGTGCGCAGCTCGGTTCAGTAGACTGTGCGCCCGGTTCTTTTGAAGCGGCGGGGCACCCCACTTGTATAATGGTAGGGGAAACACTGAATGCCTCGACCACCGATTTATGGTCAAGTCTGACCACGGAGCCTTACCTGAGTCTGACCGTGCACTAACAGTGACTGGGAACTAACAGGGACTGGGAACGGTGCAGCTCAAACCTCGAGACCAGCTGCTTTCCTGAGGATCAGGAAATTGGCTGATGGCTGCTCTGCTCAGCTGTCCTTTCAGGAAGCATTTCATTGGTTTTCAGCATTTGTCACAAGTTTTGGAAGTTATAGCTCATTTAAAGGCAACATATTTTTTGTTGTAGGTTACATTTATGCAGATCTTAAGCATTAATTTTATTTAGTTTTTGTTTTTTTGGAACTGCACCTGCACTTTAGTTTTTGTGGTGGCTTTTGTTCTATATTTTGTGCAGATTTTTCAATCTAAATAACAGAAGGAGACTTTTTTTTTTTTATACTTTGAGACTATATGAAATAAAGTAATTGCAGTAAAATTAACCCTTGTTGTTTTTTTTGCTTTTATATAATACTGCAAAGCAACAAGTTCATTTTGTCAAATGAATAACCATGATGTCTGTTTTGTTGTTTTTTCTATGTCACTAAATTTATCGTTATCGTAAGAATGCTCTGAAATATCACATTATATTTGAGCCATATCGTCCACCCCTAGTCCAGATATGCAGAAATAGAGTCCTTCTGTCCAGAAAGAGAGTCCTTCTGTCCAGCTGTGCAGAAAGAGTCCTTCTGTCCAGCTGTGCAGAAAGAGTCCTTCTGTCCAGAAAGAGAGTCCTTATGTCCAGCTGTGCAGAGAGAGTCCTTCTGTCCAGCTATGCAGAAAGTCCTTCTGTCCAGCTGTGCAGAAAGAGTCCTTCTGTCCAGCTGTGCAGAAAGTCCTTCTGTCCAGCTGTGCAGAAAGAGAGTCCTTCTGTCCAGAAAGAGAGTCCTTCTGTCCAGCTGTGCAGAAAGAGAGTCCTTCTGTCCAGAAAGAGAGTCCTTCTGTCCAGCTGTGCAGAGTCCTTCTGTCCAGCTATGCAGAAAGAGTCCTTCAGTCCAGATGTGCAGAAAGAGTCCTTCTGTCCAGCTGTGCAGAATGAGAGTCCTTTTCCTGCTGTGCAGAGTCCTTCTGTCCAGATGTGCAGAAAAAAAGTCCTTCTCTCCAGATGTGCAGCTGCTTGAAGGGGGTATATTGAATATCGATTACGTTTACCTGAGGTTACAAGACGTGTGTGTGTGAGTGTGCCCTCAGGTACCATACCTTGTCAAGTTCGCTGGACATCTTCTTGTTTTCTTCGCTGAGCACGACTCGGTCTCGCTCAAAATCTTCTCGCTCATTTTGGCTGCAGAAAACACATACACATTATAATAACCATATATATCATAATTTTCATTATATAATATTATAATACAGTAGTCCTTCATTTATCGGTGATCCATACTCTGAAAACCCCGTGGTAAGTGGAAAACAACGAAGTAGGAATAGTAGTACAAGTAGTAGTGTATTTTATATAATAATAATAATAATACTTTATTTATAAAGCCCTTTAAAACAACCACAGCTGCCACAAAGTGCTGTACATATAAAATCAAGAACATTTAAACACATAAAAACAGTTGTTAAAACATTAAGATCAATAAAAGTAATAAAAACAGTGCAGAGTAAATTCAGTGTGTGCTAAAAGCCAGGGAGTAAAAATGTGTTTTTAAAAGAGTTTTAAAACTGGACAGTGAAGGGGCTTGTCTGATGGGAAGAGGGAGATCGTTCCACAGTCTTGGAGCAGCAACAGAAAAAGCTCTGTCCCCTCTGAGCCTCCGCTTAGACCTCGGCACCTCCAGGAGCAGCTGATCAGCTGATCTGAGGCACCGAGCAGGAGAGTATGGGTGAAGCAGCTCAGAGAGGTAGGATGGAGCAAGACCATTTAAACTTTTAAAAACAAATAAAATAATCTTAAAATGAACTCTAAAATGAACAGGCAGCCAGTGGAGTGAAGCAAGAGTGGGGGTGATGTGCTCCCTTTTTTGAACTCCAGTTAGAAGCCGAGCAGCAGCGTTCTGGACCAACTGGAGACGTCTGAGGGAGCACTGGCTGACTCCAAGGTAAAGAGCGTTACAGTAATCCAGCCGAGAGGTGACGAAGGCATGGATTACTGTTTCCAGCTGCTGTTTTGTAAGGAT